AAAATTGGATCATTTGTCTATTTCGTATTTATTTGTAGAAGCACTAAATCTTTTGATTATATGTATTGAAAATATCTTCTCTCCATTTGTGGCTTATCTTTTTGCTTTCTTTATGGTATGTTTCCATGGACAGTATTTCTTAATTTTAACAAAATCAAATGTATCAATCTTCTTTTTTTCAGTTAGTGCTTTTTGTATTTAATTTAAGGAAATTGTTTCCCGTTCTAGGATCAGAAAAATGTTATCCTACGTTTTTTTCTTCAAGTTTTGCTTTTCACATCTAAGTCTTTAATACATCTGGAATTGATTTTTGTATGGGGACTCAATCCCACTTTTTTCCTATGGATAACCAGATATGCCACCATCCTCCCATCCTCCACCCCACTGCCACATCACCCCTGTCCCATACCACAGTCCCATACACACCTGGCTCAATCTCTAGGTTCTCTCTTCTGGTCCATCAGTAATATTTCTATCCCAGGGCACCATACTGTCTTAATTTCTATAAATTAATGACAAGTCTTTTTTTTTTTTTTTTTGGTGAGGAAGATCAGCCCTGAGCTAACATCCATGCCAATCCTCCTCTTTTTTTGCTGAGGAAGACTGGCCCTGAGCTAACATCCATGCCCATCTTCCTCCACTTTATGTGGGACGCCGCCACAGCATGGCCTGACAAGCAGTGCGTGGGTGCACGCACACTTAACCGCTAAGCCACGGGGCCGGCCCCTGACAAGTCTTAATATCTGGTAGATCAAAGCCTTCTCCTATTCCGTCACGTTCTTAATTCCCTTCATCCTTCCTCCTTCCTCTTCATTAATCATGGCTGACTTATTGCACTGCTCGAAGCACTTTATGAAAATTGGTTAATCTTCACAGTTAAGCCATGATATTCTTTTAATTGTAGTTAAAACAACTGATGACACACAATTTACCATCTTAACCATTTCTAAGTGTACAGTTCAGTAGTATTAAGTATATTCACACTGTTGTGCAACCAATCTCCAGAACTTTTTTCGTCTTGCAAAACTGAAACTCTGTACCCATTAAATAATAGCTCCCCATTCCCCCTCCCCCCAGCCCCTGGCAACCACCATTCTACTTTCTGTCTCTGTGAATTTGACTGCTCTAGGTCCCTCATATGAGTGGAATCCTACAGTATTTGCCCTTTTGTGACTGGCTTATTTCACTTTGCATAATGTCCTCAAGGTTCATCCATGTTGTAGCATGTGTCGTGATTTCCTTTCTTTTTAAGGCTGAGTAATAGTCCATTGTGTGTGTAGAGCACATTTTGTAATCTATTCTTCCACTGATGGGCACTTAGGTGGCTTCCACCTCTCGCTGTTGTGAATGATGCTGCAGCGAACATGGGGGTGAAGCCAGGGCATTTTCTCTGGCTTCCGGTCCGTTTGAATCCTTCTTGCAGCTCACTTCCTCTGGTTGTCATGCACCCCGGTACCCCACTGCTGGTTTACCCCTTCCCCTCTCTTCCTGAGTGATCCACTTTGAGATTCTTCCTCTGAGCAGCTGTCTCAAACGCCCGGTGGTGAGGGTATCGGCAGGCGAGGAGGAGTTTCCAAAGGGATGGAGGCTGTAACCCTCACCTTTGTCCTGCAATTCTTTGAGCATTCACTGAGCATCAGGCCCTGTGTAAGGTACCAAGAGCAGGAGCTCCCCATCTAGACTGGGGACAGACAAATGAGCAAATAAGTAGAGCCGTGATAACAGCTGTACAAGGAACAGTAGAAGCACAGAGAAGGAAACTACTAACTGCGACCCGGGGGTGGGGACCATGGAGAAGGTGACCACTGAGCAGACAGAGGGGACAGGGCATTCCAAGCAGGCAGAAGAGCCTGTGCAGAGGCGTAGGGACATCGAGGATCACAGCTGGCTTTCTGGAGCTGCAGTGAGCTCAGCAGGCTGGGGACACAGGCTGGGGCAGAGGAATGGCTGCAACGGAAGCTAAAAGGAGGCAGAGGAGGTGAGTCACATCAGACCTTGTGCACGATTCTCAGGAGTTGGGCTTGATCTTAAGGGCAGGGCAGGTGGGGGCCGGATCTGAAGCAGGGGAGTGATATGATTAGAAAGAACATACTGGAGGGCAAAGGGGAGAACCATTGGAAGTGGAAGGAAATGGAGGGGGAGACTGGATAAAAGACTCACAACAAAAGAGACAGGATTGCAGCTGAGGCCGAGGCTGGGGAACTGAGAGGAGGGTGGATTCTCAGCCAGAGCGTCAGATTGGGAGGGCGTGGGGAGGGGAATGAGCTGAGGGTTCCGGCTGGGGCTCCTTGGAGGATGAGGTACCAGTCACAGAGAGCAGGAATCAGGAGAGGAGCAGGGCTGGGTTGGGTCGCTTGGGCGTCGGTGGGGGATGGGAGGACATGATGAATATGGTCTAGACAGACGTGAGCAATGAGAGGTTCCTGGGAGGAGAGTGAAGGCAATCCATGCACAGGGTAGAGTTCCCAGGAGCGGCCAGGGCTGAAGCGAGCTATTGGGTCCTCATTCTCGGAGGTTCAGGATGGACATGTGGCCCAGATAGAGTGTGCAGGTGGAGGAAGAGAGCCCAGGCACAGGAAAGAGCTCGCTCTGGGTGGGCAGGCCTGCAGGGGGCTCTGAGATGGAGGAGTCAGAGACAAACCAGGAGAAGGGCACCATGGAGCCAGGGTCAGGGAGGAACCGTTCCTTCAACAAGAGTGTTCAGGCCCCCAAGGTTCCAGAGATGGGCAAGAGTCAGGACCGGCTCCCATCTCTTGGATAGGACAGTGGTAGGTCCCCGTGACTGGAGAGAAGGGATGAGTGTCAGGGCGTGCATGAGACAGAAGCACAGTGAGGATGGATGGGACATGGGCTGGAGGAGATGCAGAGGAGCCAGGGGACGTACAGGACCCTTTCTAGAAGCCTGACTGTGAAGGAAAGAGATAAGGCTAGAGAGAGGTTCGAGGATATGGGGAGTGCAGGGTTTTTGTTTTTAGAGGGCGGAGCAGTTTGTCATCTGTAAGACGTGAGCAGACAGCACAGGAGAAGTCCTATGACTGCAGATCCCGGCCACTGTGATGCCAGCACTCTCTCTGAGCCCTTGGGCTCTCCAGGCACGACCCTCCACTGGCATCTCTGGATCTGGAAATTCTCTTTAAAGGCTCCTCCTATCTGAAATGCAGAACAGTATTTTTTTTAATGAATTTATCATCTTGTCCTCCTACTGATTTCCCCTGTCCCTGGCAATGGCACCACTGTCTCTTCAGTTCCCAGGCTTAAGATCTGAATCATCCTTGATGGGTCCCTCACCCACCCTCCACTGGAGACCTGGAGAGCAGAGCTCAGAGGTGAAGCCTGCAGACTCTGGAGCCTCTGCAGCAGTCACATCCACACCCTCCTATCCTCTACTTCTCTAGCTGTGTGAGGTTATGTAACCTCCTTATATGTGTGTGTGTGTGTGTGTGTGTGTGTGTCTATGTGTGTATCTATGTGTGTGTGTGTATATGTAATATAAGCAACCTATTATATACTATATTAAAAACCCATTATATATAATAAACAATTTTATGTATATATATATAATAAACAATTTTATGTATATATATATAATAAACAACCTATATCATAGGGTTGTTGGGAACATTAAATCAGTTAACATACGAGAGTGAGAACAGAGCCTGGCATAATGTTAGCTATTATAAGTGAACCGAACTTTGCAAGGTCTCTAAAATTCTCTCCTTCTCCGTCCCCTGCTCTTCAAGCCCTTAACTCCTCCCAAGGTGTATGGTTAAAATTGCTTCTAAACTGGTCTCCTGCCGTTGGTTCCTTTTCTCTCTCAGGGTATCCTGTACACCGTCCCCAAAAGACAAGAGCATCAGGTCGTTTCTTTAGGCTCCCTGTTGCTTGCAGAATAAAGTCCAATGTCTTTAGCTGAGCATTCGAAGGCTATCTCATCTTGCTCCAGTTTGCTTTTCTGGCTCATTCTCTGTGGCTTCCCTGCCCCCACCATTATTCCAGCTCATGCTCAGCCCTCTAGACTCCCCTTAAGTGCTCTGGCCCACTTGGCTTGGTGTTTATACCTTTCTCTCTTGCCTGCCTCTATCCGATTCATGCTCTTTCTCCCATGACCAAGCCGCTCTCCTCCATAAAGCCTGTCTTGACCACTCCGGTCCACAGCGCTCTCTCTTGCCTCTGACCCCAGCACCTCTTGCCTGGACCACTCACTGCTGACACTCACTCCCTGTACATCGGGTCACGCATATGGGTGTTGCCTCTCCAGCTCCATTGCACGTCCTGCCAATGCAAGGCAGGCTTCTTCTGGCTTGTTTTTCTGACAGTACATAGCACAGTGCCTCATCCTCTGTACGTGTTCAATTAATGTTTACTAATTGTGATGACATTGCACCAGGGTGCTGAAGAACATATCCTCAGGCTTATTAGTTCCTTTCATTCATTCATTCATTCATTCATTCACCAGTTATTTGTTGGGTTCCATAGTGGGCCAGGCAGTGGAAAGTGGATGATGAGCAAGATAGAAATAGTCTTCTCTCATGGAGCTTATGTTCATAGAGGGGAGATGGATTCTCAAAATAAATATATAAATATTTCAAAGAGTGGTAAGAGTTTTAAAGGAAATAAGAATCTTCATTCAATGTTCTACATATTTTGCCTGCTGTGTATGCAGGACCAGTTACATAATTCGTAGGGTCCAGTACCAAATGAAAATATAGGGCCCCTTGTTCAAAAATATATAAGAATTTCAAGCTGGCGACAGCAGAGCATTCAAGTAAGCTCAGGGCCCTTCTAGCACATGCCTGTGAAACCAGCTCTGCCCCTACTGTACTTAATCCATACACTTTGTATGGTAAAGCATCTTGGGTGCTTTAATGAGACAGGAAATAATCAGAGAAACGATCTCCGTGAGATTTGGAATCCAGCTCAGCATATTCATTTACAAAAAATATGTGGTGGCCGCATGTGGAATGTAACAGAAAGTTCTCTTGATGTTTTCTGCCTTTCAGACTGTTTGACCTACTCGGCTTTGCAAGTATTATCCAGTAGGTGCTATGGGAGGCAGAGATGCAAAATCGTTGTCAACAACCTCCATTTCGGAAGTCCCTGTCTCCCCAGAGTGAAAAAATACCTCACCGTCACCTACGCCTGTGGTAAGAATACACCCTCCACACCCCGTCTCTTGGGCGGTGGTGATCACGTGAACAAAAGTTCCTGCAGCAAACCGAAAGACCCTACTCCTGAAACTGTGTTGTCATCCCAGATATTCAAGAGCCTCTTTTTCTACCCTTTATTCTTGTTTATGACATTCACATCAGATAGGTGATAGAATTTTCTTGGGTTGAAATTTGTTTTAAAAGCCCTTCTAGCCATCAGATTGGCAGCAAATGGGAAGAACAGGAAAAGAACAAACAAATGGGGCGAAGTTGATGGCACTGGGAATAGTGATTTTTATCTGGGTTCTTAGGAGGCTCTGAAGTTTATGGGTATGTCATGCAAGTTCACAGAAGTGTTGTTTGGCTCCTGGTTAACCTCCCAGTCCTGCTTTTAGGCCCTAAGTGACTAATTCTCTGTGCTGCCAACAGCCCTTTTATCTACAGGCCCACAGCGTTGAGTCAACAGCTCAAATGCTTACCTAACACAATTAAGAATGTTACACGAAGTCATGACTGTGTTTTCCTTGTGTCTTCAAATAATAAAATGAAATGCCTGGTACATTCAATTCCAATTTTATAAAGCTACCTAAAAGTGAATCAGCAGTTAATTGTTCTCTGAGGGTACTGAGGATTTCTGGGTTGTAATCCTGACAAACGAGCATGGAAGGAAAGAGCAAAGAGCACCGTAGCTGAAGAACCTGATACCTGTGATCATGGAAACCCCTTTTCCCCCGCCAGCTACCCCTAGCCTCTTGTTTTTGGTAACAGCTTTATTGAGAGATAATTCAAAGACTATACAATTCACCCGTTAAAGCATACAAATCAATGGTTTTAGTATATTCATGGAATTGTACAACTATCACCACAATTAAAGAACATTCTCATCACCCCAAAAAGAAACCCTGTACTCTTTAGTAGTCACCTCCCGATCCACCCTCCATCCTCCCAGCCCCCTCGCCCAGGCAACCCCCAATCTACTGTCTGTCTTTATGGATTTGCCTCTTTGGATGTTTCATATAGATGGAATTGTACAATGTGTGGCCCTTTGTGCCTGGCTTCTTTACCTAGCATATGTTTTCAAGGTTCATCTGTGCTGTAGCGTGTGTCAATACTTCATTCCCTTTTGTGGCCTAATAATATTCGGTTGCATCCCCAGCCTTTTACACTCCGAGCTAAAAGTGTTGTCCTCTGCAATTTCAAAGCTGTAGTAGGTACAATGAAGTGACTATGTAAATGTATTCCCAAAATAATAGCAGCCACATTTACATTCCAGGAAGCATGACTTTACTTCCCCTCTCAGTCTTTATTCCTGTTTCCACGTCGAAGCAGCTCTGGGTACCTTTGAGCCCATTCTGGCTGAGGTTCCCCGAGAAGCCACATAGATCATTATGAAGTTCTAGTAACTTCAGGCCTCTCCAGCGGAGTGTTGAAGGAGCGGGACTTTAGCCTGCAAATAAGGTGAATTTCCTGGTGTGCCTTCAAGGATGAGGCGAGAGCAGTTCCTAGGGCTGTGGCTCTTCTTAGCTAAGCCAAGAAAATGGGCTTTCAGGGCCTGGGGGTTGCGCATCCCAGTTCGAGATTCTTTTCCCTCATTCAGCACGTTATGGGCATGTTCTGTGTGTCAGGGGTTGTGCTGGGTGCTAAGGATTTAGTAGTGCAAAAAAAGAAAAGACATGGTCCTTGTCCTCATGGAATCATCAGTTGGAGAAGAGAGACAGGCATTAAACAAATAACCACATAAATCTGTCATTACCCATCGTGATAAATGCTGCGTCAGAAAAGGGCAGGATACTATGCAGGAGGAGAAGGGTGGATGGGCCCTAATTTAGCTTGGGGGTGGTGGTTTGAGAAGTTTTTCAAAGAGAGCCTTCCTCTGGGGTGAACTTGCAACCTGGGCTCTGAGGGGTGGGCAGGTGTGAGCCGGCACAGTGGGAGCAGTGGGGCAGCTCGTGCAGAGATGCTGAGTGGGGGAGGAGAGGAGTTGGTGAGGAGCAAGGTGGCAGGAGGTGGCACTGGAGAGGGCCAGGACCAGATCCCGAGGCATCCTGGGAGGGGGTGCCAGTGGAGGGTTTTAAGTGGGAGAGTCATTCGATCACGATGGTTGGACTCTTAAAAGACGACTCTGGCTGTAGCGTGGAGAATGGGCTGGAGTGGGATGGAAGTGGGAGACCAGTTAGACCAGTTGGACAGCAATGACTTGGACTAGAGCGGTGCTAATAGACATGGTAAAAATCAGATGGATTTGAGGAATGTTTGGAAAGTAGAAACACATTAGGGATGCTGAAGAGACCTGGCCTATTGGAAAGATTGGGGTCTGGTGGAAGATGAGAGGGATGGGATTGACCATACAGAGGCGGGAAGGATGTTTCCCTTGTCGTAACAGGGCGGAAGAGGCTCTGGGAATGGAGGCTCTGGGAGTTCCTATTGCATGGTCTTTGTCTTCTCAAAATAACTATGAGATGAGGTCCTCAGCTGTGAGCACAGGGGGAAGGGGAGAGGGGTTCGAGGAGATGAGAGAAGGTATGAAGTAGTGCCATGGAGGCAGGAGTTAACAGTCACAGTTCTCGGGGACCCTCTTCTGCCCAGTGCTGTGGCTCCCTCCAGCAGGGCCAGCTTCTCAAGAGCAGGCAGGGAGAGGCTCCCTGGGCAACGAGAAAGGAGGGGGAGAGAGGGCTGGAGCTGGGTGTTCCCAAGTGAGTCATCACAATGGTGGATGGTGGAATCTCAGCTGGAGAAGGAGGCACATGTAGACAGGACGGGCTTCGAGATGAAGAGGAAGTAGGAGATCAGTGGAGGGATCTGGAGGAGGTTGAAGAATTGCAGAGGGAGGCATTTGAGTGAGTCCACTTGAGCACAGGAGGCCGAAGTCAGAGAGAAGGGGGTGCATGTTGGTTTTGGATGTGGGACCATGGAGAAAATGGAGTGTTGAGTGTGTTCTTCCCATCGCCCTCAGAAAGTGCCCCCTTGTCCATCAGTGTGTCCCCTAGGAGTTATTCCAAAGGGAGGAGGTGACTCCCACTGTGAGGCAAGTTAGTGCCCCCCACAAGCAGACATCTTCTATGACACCTTCTAATCACCATCTAAGTGGTTGACATTTTAAAAATATTTCCCTCTGCCAGATTGCTCTTCACTGTGAAACCTGAATCACTAAAAAATGATTTGCAATGTCTGCATATTTTATAGATCACCAAGTGGGCCTGAGAGATTTTACATTTTCAAAAATTCTCACAACAGATATGGAGGTTGATACGAAGATTCCAGAGGTTGTCAATAATTAATTTCTAAGTAGATCTGTCTTAGTTAGGACTCTTTGGATGTGGGTGAAGGAACCAATTTGAGCTGGTTTAAGCCAAAAAAAGATTGGCATGGGGAGTTATGATATGGCTAGAAGGCCGTCCTCAGAAGCCAGGGCAGGAAAGCAAGGCCTCTAGGTGGCGCTAAAGCCAGAAACGCCAAGGCGATGGCAGCCATCTCTCCCTCTCTCTTCTCTGCTTCTCACAGCACTACTTCTTTATTCTCTCTCTCTCCCCCACTCCCCACCCCCCAGCCCCTCTCTCCCTCTGTAGGCGGCCTTCCTCTGAGCCTGGCCTGCATGGCGCGTGGCCACCTCCACAGCCCTGAGTGATTTTTACGTTACAGTTCTAACAACATGAAGACTCGCGATCTTGCAATCTTAATTCTAAATTTCTAACAGAAGGATATTTAATGGGCTGGGCTGGGGTCAGGTAGCCCCCCTCCTTTGATCAGCATTGGCCAGAGACCATGTGACATGATTCTCAACATGGCTGCCAGAGAGGGGCCCAGCCAATGCCCACCTCAGGTAAAGCTGCTCTTAGAGAAGAGGGTCGGGGAAGATCCATCCCATTAGGGGTCTACTCCATATCCTGCTTCCAACCACAGCCTCCAGCCGGGCTTTGCTGTTCTCCCCAGCAGTCTTGCTGTGCCCACCCAGGGGACACCCCACTCCATGGGTTAGGGGGGGCAGGGTGTGTCAGGGACAAGAGCTGAGCGTCAAGCAGGCCCCGCTGTGGGGACCCTCATATCTAAGGAAACACGTGTCACCCATCTCCAATATGACCCAGGCTGGGGGGCAGGGCTGCCTCACCCACGGCTTACCCTTGTTGCACAACCAGCCAGAATATTCTGGAGGGGTCAGCATCTGTATGTCAGAAGGCCATTGGCCTTCACTGGGCCCTGAACCACCACCTGTGGCTGAACCCACGGGGCCATAAAAGGAACCAGGGAGTGCTGTGGCCTCCTCGCCTTAATTCACGCCACACATGTGATTGAACCCCAGCCATGTGCAGACAGGGAGGTGGGGGTAGGGGAATTTCGTGAGCAATATGGTCCCTGCCCTCACAGGCTATGGGATAGAATGTAGTGAATTCCAGGCTCTGGGGACTCTGGGGACCAGGAGGGCTTCCCAGGGGAGGTGGCATCTGAGGCAAGTGAGACCGGATGTGTAGGAGTCAGCAAAGTGAAGGTGGGGAGGAGGGAAGGGCAGGCAGAAGGAACAGCACAGGCAAAGGCTGCAAGGTGAGCAACAGAGCAGGACTGGAGGGATCTCAGGGGATGGGCAAGTAAGGCCTGGCTTATGCCTGAGGGCAATGGGGAGCCACTGAAAGGTTTTCTCAGGGGACACAATCAATTTACATTTTAAAAAGAACACTCCTCCCTATTTTATAGAGCTTCTATTAGTCAGGGCTCTCTCCCACACAGCTTTTAGGCTGGGTGGAGAATTTCTGCATCTTCGAGTATCCTCGGGGGAATGAGTCAGGCTGAGAGCCCTTTGCTTTTCTAACTGTAGGCAGCACGTCTGGCTGATGTCAAAGCACTCAGAGCACCGAGCACTTGGTCATTGATTGGGTTGGGAGATGCGTCACTGAGTAGTCTTCTTTAATGCACGGCTAAATGAGGTCCTCGCTGCTCCAATGATGTCCTCGCTGGCTCTATTCTCCCTCCAAGTTTTACCATCAGCCACCCTTCTTGGACGTGCTGGATTTTAGACTTTCCTCCTGATAGGACAAGGTAGACCCGGAGAACTCGGCCAGCTCTCCCCCTCGCCTCTGCAGTGAGGACTCCTCTCCATATCCATAGCCACTGGTCCTCCAGGATCACCAAGACAGAGGCAGCATCCCCCCCACACACACACACACAATTCCTGCGAGGCACAGGAAACGTGTGGACTTCAGCCTGGGGCCTTCACAGCTCCTCCCACAAGATGAGGCAGGCAGATGGGTGGCAGGATTTGGGGACAAGAGGGGTGGTGGTACCAGGATTTGGAGACAGGAAGGATGGGTGCTGGGATTTGGGGACAAGAGGGATGCTGGTACCAGAATTTGGGGGCTAGAGGCTAGGGGGTTGCTGGGATTTGGGGACAAAACAGGATGGGGGATGCCAGCATTTGGAGGTGCTCATGCAGCCTGGGTACCTATTAAGAAGGGGGAACAGTTGAGCAGACATCATTTTTGTCTCTGATGTGAAGAATTCTTTGGGGCCCTAAATTCAACCTGTGGTGGCTTCTTTTTTAAAGTCTGCACTGACCCAAGCTTGACCTGGAAGATTTATTCAGGAAAAACAAAAAATTTTAAGGTGGGAGCCCAGCCCGAATTTAGTGAACCATTCAAGTCCATTAGAATCATCATCTCTGGTTTCGCCTAAACAGACTCAGGGGGACTGCCTGAGTGGGAGTCACTTTGCCTTCTTTATAATCCTTTGAAATAGTTCTTTTTCCGGTTCCGAAAGGCTGAACGTCCCATGGACAGTACAGCATCACAGAAAGATCAAGGGCATGTGTGGGCGAGACCGGGATTTGATGCTGTGCCTCTTCCTAGGTGAATGGCGTGTCTCTGGGCCTCAGTTTTCCCATCTGCAGGAATGGGGATGATACACATCTTCACAGGGTCACCATAAGGATGGAGCAAGATGCACCATTTAAGCGTCGAGCCCAGGGTCCAGCATATGTTAGGAGCTCCGTTAGTGATTTGCTTGTGGGTTCACTAATATACCTAAAGTGGGAGGGGCAAGTTTGAGGGGTGGTAATAAATCATCCCTCGGTCCCCATCTTTGTTCTCGAAACAAGGAGATGCAAGAATCGACAGGTGTGTTGACACCTGTTGTTAAAGGTCCTAAAAGATTCTCCCACCATCAGAGCCATTTTCACGTAGTAAATGGACAATTTCCTGACTTGAGCCTGTATCACACGCAGGCAATTTAGTCTGTGGGGTGCCTGGTTGTTCTGCAAAGCTGGTCCTAGAATGTCCTTCCTCTCTGAGGTCGTCCTCTTTCTGGAACTATAACGCCTCTGGCATGTGCAGAGAGCCAAGCCCTCCTCAGGCCGTATCTTGAGAACAAGCCAAGAGACAGACGTGAGAAGGAAGTGCCACTCCTGGCAGGGAGGACGTGCTCCTGCCGAGGAATCGGGGCGTCCTTCTCAGGGCGCAGAAGTGGTGGAGAGGCTGCTTCATCAGAAAGCATTTGCGGCAGCACAGGGCAGCTCTCTGGGGCGCTGCCATGGTCCCAGGATCAGCAGCGTGGTCAGCCAAGGGGCATTCCTCGGGGACCCTGGACAGCTTCCACTGCCTCCACCATTGTCATTGTGCCATCCTGGGGAGTGCCCCTTGCTGCTGATGGGCACGAAGGCGCCAGGCCTCCTGCAAGTGGAAAATTCACAATCTAGGAATGTTCTCTGATTGTCGATCCTGAGACATCCCCAAAAGAATTTAGTTAAGCACTTTGAGAAAGGAAATAAGGTTTTCTTGCTGCTGAATACATCTTACCAGCTCTTTTTAGAAAATCAGTGCAGTTGAACTTACCCAGTTTATATTGGCTTCACTTCTATTTCCTGTTGCCACTTCTCCCAGATACCAGCGGGGATAAAGAACAAACAAAAATAAGCAATTTTCTGCAGCAAAAATATTTGGTTTCCTCTCCCTCTTCCCAGCTGGCTGCAGTGTGCTTGGCCTTCAGAATTCTTGCTTTGCCCCACGGTTTAGGTTCAGCTGGAGCTGTCATCTCATCCCCTCTGCCTGGGGATCTTGAGATCGGGTGGTTTATTCTTAGGGTCAGCTCGGCGGAATCTTTCACCACCTTCCCAAGGAGGCTATTACGCTGCCCTCCTCTCCTCATCTTTTTTTTTTTTTTTTAAGATTTTATTTATTTATTTTTCCCCCCCAAAGCCCCAGTAGATAGTTGTATGTCGTAGCTGCACATCCTTCTAGTTGCTGTATGTGGGACGCGGCCTCAGCATGGCCGGACAAGCGGTGCGTCGGTGGCGCCCGGGATCCGAACCCGGGCCACCAGCAGCGGAGCGCGCGCACTTAACCATTAAGCCACGGGGCCGGCCCTCTCCTCATCTTTCTATCGTCCTTTCTTTTAGATTGGCCGTGAGCTAACATCTGTTGCCTATCTTTCTCTTTCTGCTTGAGGAAGATTGTTCCTGAGCTAACATCTGTGCCAGTCTTCCTCTATTTGTATGTGGGACGCCGCCACAGAATGGCTTAATGAGTGGTGTATGGGTCCACGCCCGGGATCCAAGCCCACAAACCTGGGGCCACCAAAGCGGAGCACGTAAACTTACCCACTACGCCACCGGGCCACCCCCTATCATCCTTTCTTATAATACTTAGAGGATTATTCTAGCATGAAGTCTTAGAATTCTCTTCAGGCTTATTATGGAAGCCAGGAGTTAAAGAGCTGTGGGTAAAAAGCAGAGTTGTTGCTGGTGGACTTTGAGTGAGTTACAGTCATTTGGTTTCACTATATCTCAGCAAAGTTCATGACATCATTATTGAGGTGTCATTTACATCCCTTAAAATTCACCCACTTTAAGTAAACACAATTCGGTGATTTCTAGTAAATTTACAGAGCTGTGCAGCCATCACCACCCTCCAATTTTAAAACATTTCCATGACCCCAAAAAGTTCTCGCATGCCCATTTGCAGTCAGCTCCCCATTCTCATTCCTGGTCCTTGGTAACCACTGATTTACTTTCTGTCTCTATGAATTTACTTCTTGTAGATATTTCATATTAATGGAATCATACAATAGGTGGCCTTTTGTGTCTGGCTTCTTCCACTAAGCATAATGTTTTTGAGGTTCATCCATGTGGCACATGCTGGTACTTCATTCCGTGTTTCTGCTAAATGTTATTCTACTGGATAGATAGACCGTATCTTGTTTATTTGTTCTTATTGTGGTGTGTTTTTTTTTTAGTACTTCAAAATTGGCCTAAAATTTTACCTTCTTGGGACATTTTATGATCGTACCATTGGTGTATGTAGCCCTTGGTGTATGTGAGTTTATCTGAAAAGCAGAGTGATTTATGGACTGATTTGAAAATTGATTTTTTTGGTCTTAACTACATTTCATTTAAAAAATATATTAAGCGTATAATGTATTTAAAAGAGTTCTTTTTGTTTTTTAGTTCCCAAGAACATACTCACAGCGATTGATCCAGCCGTTGCTAATCTAAAACCTTCTTTGAAGCAGAAAGATGGTGAATATGGTAATTTTTATGGCTTACTACCAGCATTTCTCTTTAAGTAAAGGTAAACAGCCCCGTGGGACCAGAGCCGGGTGCACACTGGTTAGAATGAAAGGGGATGTTAGGAGGTGTGTTTGAGCTACTAGCTCTAATATGGGAGTGCTGTGGTGAATGGTTGCAAATGGTGGCCAACATTTCATTTTGTTGTTTAAATTATAAGTAGAATAAATCCTCCCTCCATTCCCCTCTTATTTCCCAAAAGAAAAATCACTTTGAAAAAGAGGTCTGGGCAGAAATAAATTTGACGTTCTTGGATTCTACCGTGAGCTTGTTAGAAAGATGCTCCCATTAGGAACCTGGGTGGGTCAGAACCAGGCTGGACCTGTGGGCCTCCGTACACAGGCCACCTTCTTCCTTAGGTTTTCACTGGACTTTTGTAAATGGGAGCATGACCATTTTGGTTTCCTTATCAAATCTAGAATGGAATTGAGACCCCTGGGGCTCCTGACAGAAGCTGCAGAGTCCCTGTAGCCTTTATAGAAAGGTGTAGAACATCTGTCTAAGACATTGCACTTCGCATGTTGAGAGTTTGTTTTGTGTCACTTTATTACATTTGTGAGATCTTTTCCCCCTAAGTATAAAAGTAAAGTATGCTTGACGTGGAAAACACGGGAAAGCACCAGAAACAGAACTCACCCCTAGTCTCAAAGCTTAGAGATAACTGTTATTCATGTTCCGGGTTCTGCTAGCTCGCCACTCCAGCTTTCTGCCAGGCTTTGCCTCTCCCAGCCCCGTTGCTCTTTATAACAGAGCTCCCACTCAGATCCCATGATTATCCTGGTGCCCCTGCAGTGGAGGCCTGAGTGCTCTGTACCATCCTTCCTCGGAGACTTCTGCCCGGTCTGACATTCTCAGGGGTCCCCAGAGCCCTTAGGCTGCACCATCAGGAGCTCACGAGCTCCATCACAGCAGTTTGTTTATTTTTATTTATTTTTTTTGTGAGGAAGATCAGCCCTGAGCTAACATCTGCCAATCCTCCTCTTTTTGCTGAGAAAGACTGGCCCTGGGCTAACATCCGTGCCCATCTTCCTCCACTTTATATGGGACGCCGCCACAGCATGGCTTGCGAAGCGGTGCGTTGGTGCACTCCCAGGATCCGAACCTGTGAACCCCGGGCCACCGCAGCAGAGCTCGCGCGCTTAACCGTCTGCGCCACCGGGCCGGCCCCCATCACAGCAGTTTAACCAGGCATCTGGAACCAGTTCCGCCCTGCATTTGTTTGTCCTTTCCAAAACAGTAACCCAACACAACCTCCCTCCGTAATTCAAGGCCTTCTCCTCTGTGGTCAACAGAGCAGACAGCAGCTCTGTGGTTAAGTAAGACATTATTAAGCCTCCCAAAGGCATGATGAATGCCATTGCCTTTAGGATGGGAAAATAAACTTGTTCCCTTCCACAGTCGAGTGGATGAGTGGCATCTGAAGTTGGAACCAACACATTGTAGAATTCCTAAATCCCTTTCGTCACTTAATATTTTCAAAGACTGCTTACTAACTGCTCTTCCTGGCTTAGTCTTCCGTAATTTAGTTAGAGGCCCATTTATTTGATTTCCCTGACTTTTTATTTATTATGGCAGTCCTGAGTTAGGAGCAAAAGGCGTACTGTGAACAGCTGTGATTAATCAGTCTTGCATTTTTTATGAAACAGGTATAAACTTTGACCCAAACAAACCAAGAGTTCTGAGGAAAGACGGAGTTATTGTTAGCAACTCTCTGGCAGCATTTGCTTATATTAGAGGTAGGTCAATGAATCGAAGCTTCCTAGAATGCCAATATATTTACTGAAGTCTAACAGATGCACTGTTTAATTACAACACTCAGATAGCTAAAGAAAAATGACTTTAAGTTTGACATGGCAACCGTAGTCTTCTAAGATCCAGAAACACAGAAGCCTGAATTCAGGTGCAGGAATGGTAGCCAAGTGGGCTCGCAGTAGGAGAACCACATAGGGAGGGAGGGAGCAAACAGAAAGAGTCACACTATTTGGGAGGTGGGCGCCATGGGTATTTTCTGCTTTGGAAAGTAGGTACCTGAGGAATGCACTTCCCAGCTCTAAAATTTGGGAAGGGCAGAGGATTATTGAATTCCATCCTCGGCTGGAAGAAAATTAAGCCAAGAGGTCACTTAGTAGGCAAAACAGGTCATGCCCTGTGAAGGCAGAGTCCTTTTCTGAGTCACCAGTGTTGCTTCTCACGGTTGCCAAGGTTTCCCTTGGTAATCTTCCCCGAGAGGATCAGACTCAGCTCTCCTTAATTAGTGGAGCCAAAATTGCTGTCAATGAGGGGATGTGCGTGCCATCTCTCCTCCCCACCTTCTCTGTTCATCTTAGGGGAGGCCATATTTTGGAACGTTGATTCTGCAAGTTTCGGCAATGCCTGCCTGACTCTGTTCAGGGAGGCCAAACCTCTGAGGCCTTTTGTAAAATACACATTAATATGATGCATTATGGCATTACTATTGGAGGCCTGCCAGGGCTGGGCTGTTTGGGATAAGCCTTCCTCAGAAGAAAATAAAGACTAAAGGAACCATCTCAACACGGGAGACAGAGAGGAGAGTCGGGATCCTCTACTGTTCCATCGTCTTCTCGCGTCAACATTCCTCCCTGTGTGGTTGGTGGTTTCCTCTGAGAAGCTTCTCTTTTCTAATCACCTTCCCATTTCCACTTCTCGAAGTTCCCGATAATTGTCGACATTAAGAGATGTCAGGATTTTTATTGTCAAAAATATCCCCATATTTTCAAAGACCCTGGAGAGCCCCTTGGAGGAAAGGCATCATGAGAATCCTCCACACAGAGAATAACAAAGAGGAGCAATGATGAGGCCACCTACCGAGCTGTGGCCACTCTGGGCCTTGTCAGTTCCTCTCAATAGCTGTCTTGGTCAGCTCGGGCTGCCATCATGAGATACCATAGACTGGGCGGCTTTAACAACACACATTTATCTTCTCATGGTTCTGGAGGCTGCAAGTCCAAGATCCAGGCCCTGGCAGATTCAGTGTCTGGTGAGAGCTCTCTTCCTGGCTTGTAGACAGCTGCCATCTTGCTGTGTCCTCACATGGCAGGGAGAGAGAGGGGGAGAGAGCTCTTGTGTCTCTTCTTATAAAGACATTAATCCTATTGGATCTGGGCCCCACCCTTAATGACCTCATTTAACCTTAATTACCTCCTTGTAGGTCCTGTCTCCAAATATAATCACAGTGGGGGTTAAGGCTTCAACACATGACTTTTGAGGGGGGACACAATTCAGCCCATAGCAACGCCCTGAGAGAGGGGACTCTGGTCCCCCATTCTGCACATAGGGAAGCTGAGGGTCAGAAGAGGTGAGCCACTTGCCTGAGGCCACAGCGTAGACATCGGCAGGGCCAGGATTCAGACTCAGCAGATGCAAGACCTGTGCTCTGGCTTCTCTGAGCAAGAAGTGTGCCCTTCGGAATTCTCAGGGATGGAAACCTCCTGACCTCAAGTTACCTGAATTAGCTTCCTTCCATCCCTGTCTTGCCTTTGGCATCCTCATCACTCCCAGAAATCATAGGAGAGATTTAAGTGCCCATCTCCCTGCTAGACAGTAAGCGTCCCAAGGGCAGATGTTTGTCATCTTAGTTATTGTCATATCCCAGCACCTAGGACAGTGCTGGCACAGGGTAGGTGCACAGTGAGCCATTAATGAATGACCCTATGATGAATCCCCATCTGGTGTCATGAGCTATCCTATGCCTTATTATCATCTCCTATTTGCCATTTATAGGTATCTAATTTTAAAGAAATTTAAGGACGTGATGGGCTGTTACTTGGTTTTATTGAGGGATGTTTAGGCACATTCATCTCCCCAAGCTAGAGGGAGGAGGCCTGTCTGAAGGAGAGGCCACTGGCGGGAACAGCGGGGAGCCGAGAGGGAGCAGGGTAGGTTCAGCAAAACCAGCCACATAGTCAGTAGACTGAGTGAAGCCAAAAGGACTTTTCCCAGCTCAGGTTGCCAGTGGCTTTGACACATTAGTGCAGCCAAGTATATGCGAGGGACTAGTGCACTAGAAACCAAAATCGAGGAGCTTGTCCTGGAATGTTGAAATACAGGTTGGCGGAATGGATGTGAGAACGTCCAGGGTCCCTGATGAACGTTTTCTCTTGTGTGGCCATTGAGACACCTTCTCAGGAATGTTTGAATTTACCGTCACCTCAATAATAGACCTACTTGTTGAATTCATTCTAGAATCTAGGTCATGGGTCTGAAGAAGCTCATAGAAAAATTTTGAAATTAGAGAAATGGAGGGGCTGGCTCTGTGGCGTAGTGGTTAAGTGTGCGCGCTCTGCTCCTGGCGGCCCGGGTTCAGATCCCGGGCATGCACCGATGCACCGCTTGTCAGGGGTGGCAGCATCCCACATAAAGTGGAGGAAGATGGGCACAGATGTTAGCCCAGAGCCAGTCTTCCTCAGCACAAAAAAAAAAAAAAAGAGGGGGATTGACATGGATGTTAGCTCAGGGCCGATCTTCCTCACACACAAAAAAATAGAAATGGAAAAGGGTGTGTGTGTGTGTGTGTGTATGTGTTGGAGCTTCTTAGAAGGCAACTTATTAGCTGGCTCAGCCATTGTCGCCTGGCAGATTGTGCTTAGGAGACTTATTTAGAGTCTTGCTCAGAACGTGACATCTCCCATTCCACGTATTTAGTGTTTCATTGACATCTGCTTTGTGTGTTGACCTCATATGTGCCTGCAGCCATGCCTATTGAGGCCTGATATTCCTGTCACTGCCCCTACTGGGGACCATGTGTGTCTTCAGCCCTCTGGCAGAGCTTGCTGTGGACTCTCAGGGTCCTGGGGTAACTGGGGCCACGGGTAAGAAAGCAGAGCTTCTCTTGAGCTGGGAGGCATCACTGTTTTATATGAAAGGAACCCTAGGCTATCAGACAAACCCGCACTGAAATAGAAATATAACAACACATTCCAAAGTCAGAGTTACATGATCCCCTGTCAGGGAGGACAATTGGAAATCAGCACCGCCTTGTCACGTCGGTGTGGATTCTGATGTGTTCCCACGGTCTCTAATCTTTGGTTCCATGACAGAAAGTTATGGTCACATCCCTAAGTGCTGGGAGACCAGGGCCAACAGACTTTGTGCTTTTACCCGCCAGCAGCAGGGCCCCAGGAGGTAACCCTCACCCTGGCCTCTCAGTGTCTTATTTGGACACAATTAAGTTTGAGCTGGAGCATGTGTTGGCTCCAGACCTGAGATCTAAAGGTCAAGGGGCCTTAAAGGCCACGGGCCACCATTGTGAGATTCCCAAGGGCTTACAGCTGATGAAATTAAAGTCATTTCCTTGAGCCTGTGATGAACCGAGGCTAAATGGAGAACAATACCAACAATAACTGTGTGAAGATTCTCTTTAACCACATGGAGACTAACGCCTTTATTTTTCCAGAATATATAATAGGAAAAGGGGCCACAAAAGCCTCGAGTGGTCCAAATTGATTCTAGAAAAGAGATGATGCATCTTTAGTGTAGAGCCTGGGGCTGTGGAGAGAGCCCTGGCCCGAGCTTGGGGCCCTAGCCAAGTGGTGGCTTGGGACAAGTGAGACGGCTGTAACCGGAGGAGGTGGCCCAGCTCACCTCGAGGTTCCATCTCACTAATGTCTAGTGATACTGTGATTTTAAACTAGTTGGTTCAGATGACTAGGAAACCTTGTTCCAATGGGCTTGCCAAGAGTTGCCCATGTTCTCCATCTTTGATCACTGGATCTCAGCACACTTGGTGTGGACATGGCCTAGAGAGTGATCACTTGGCAGGAGGCATACCTGAGCCAAGAGGCACTGAGAGTCTGATGAGTGAGAAGCTCTCCTGGCAGGAGAATGCAGACTCTCACTTCCCAGGAGAAGAGGGAGAGAGGAAAAGAGGCAGCTAACATTATGGAGTCCCACCCACTGGGCACCACGCCTAGTGCTCTAGGTCCGTGACGCCTCCTTTCATGCACTCAACAGATACTTGTGTAATCCCTGCTCTGCGCTGGGCACCAGGGATTTGGCAAAGAGCAAGACAGTTCAGCCCCTGCCCTCATGGAGCTTGCATTCTACGGGGACAGAAAGGAGGAAACACACTTGGTGATTTAGTGACCTTCAAGATGTTATGAGACCCAATGATGGGGGTACTTGGCCTAGTCTGGGGGTGCAGGCACAGAGGGCTATGAAGAGGGGGAAAAAGAATATTCCAGGCAAAAGAACAATGCAAAAGTGCCAAGGTGTGAAGTCATCCGGCCCCTGTGAGGAATGGAAAGAGGCCAGTGTGGCAGGACAGCAGAAAGCAGAAGGGACCAGTCTTTGGAGCTGAACTTGGAGAGGGTGGCAGGGGCCATGTCATAGCAAACTTCACAGGCTGTGGTGAGGATTTGATGTTTAGCTTAGGAGAGGAGGAGGACCATTTATAGGTTTTAAGTAGGGCAGTGATGTGTATTTTTAAAAAGATTACAATGGCCGCAGTGGGAAAGATGGATGAAAGGGGCCAGAGAGGAGAGAGGAGATGAGCTGGAGGCAGGGAAGATGGAGAAGAGTAGCATTATCATTCCTGTTTTTCAGGTAAATTCACTAGATCAAAAGACACCTTAATGGGGTCGGCCTGGTGGCACAGCGGTTAAGGGCGTGCGCTCTGCTTCAGCGGCCCGGGGTTCGCAGGTTCGGATCCCGGGCACGCACCGACGCACTGCTTGTCAGGCCATGCTGTGGCGGCGTCCCATATAGAGGAAGATGGGCACGGATGTTAGCCCAGGGTCAATCTTCCTCAAGGAAAAAGGGAAGGATTGGCATCGGATGTTAGCTCAGGGCTAGTCCTTCTCACACACACACAAAAAAAAAGACACCTTAACGAAAGTGAAAATACAAGACAAAAAGCACAAACAACCCAATAGGAAGAAAAAATGAGCTTGTGACATGAACCAGCATTTTGAGAAGAGGAAATATACAAGCATCTGAAGAGATATACATATAATTTGGGATCAGGAAAATGAAAATCAAGACCCCCCCCCAGTAAGATACAATTTTAAACCCAGATGATTAGAAAACGTTTATAAGCCTGTCCATACCAAGTGCTGGAGAAGACAAGGATTTGCAGGATTCCTCCCACACTGCAGGGACTTTGGAAACCACTTTGGCAGTACTTCCTAAAATTCAAATACCCTAAAACCCATCCAATTACCCTCCTAGATCAGTACCCCAGAGGAACACTTGCATATGTCCACCAGGGACTTTTACAAGAATGTTCATACCTACAGTGCCCACATGGCAGAAAGCTGGCACCAACCCAGATGCCCACCAGCAGGAGAGTGAGTGAATAAATTACGGTATAGTCAAGACAATGCAATAAGATACGGCAACATAATATTAAGTTTTTAAAAACAAAACAAAACACCAAGTTCCAAACACTATCTGTAACATGATACCGTTTTCATAAAGTTTTTAGGAATACATAGAGATGCAATAAATTATATAAAAAGGCAACCAGGGAAGTAATGACTGTGGAATTCAGGGGGTAGTTACCTTGATGGGAGCAGGTTGGGGGGAGGGGGAACCCACAGGTTGGATGCAGGTTGTTGTCAAGGCCCTCGCTCCCATGGGGGGACGGGGGGGCTTATTCACAGCCCAGGGGCTGATTACAGAATTAAAGGTAATTAAGTAAATAAACATTAAAAAGGGCCATGTATTGACCAATGAAGAGAATGTGTCACATCCTAAGGATTATGATTAATATAATTCTGTCCATCTGGCGTCCTTAAAAAGAAAGGAAGGGAAGGGAAGGGAAAGGAAGGGAGAAGGAAGGAAAGAAGGAAGGAAGGAAGGAAAGGAAGGAAGGAAAGGAAGGAAGGAAGAGGTACCATAATTGGCTCATAGTTACCCACCTGTCTGGGTAATCATTTTGCATATTATGGTTTAATGACTTTGTCCAAAGTGCCAGTGTCCCCAATCTCCATTCTACCTCCACTCCCAGAAATGAAAATAGCCCTTCCTTCTCTCACAAAGGATATGTGTCTGTATTTGACTAAATCTTCAAAATATCTTAATCCTTAGGAAAACTGTATTGTTATTAGCAGCACTACAAACAACTCGCTGCCCCTCCTGCAGCCAAAATCAAATTGGAATGAAGACGTCTATGTCTTAAAGAGGTGATGAGATTGTGCTAGTAGGGGCGATGGCAACAAAGAAAAACATATTTGAGTGCAGTAACTCCGCCAGTGACCTGAGCTGCAAGTGAAGGAAGCCGACTGGGGAGGTTTCAAGTTTCAGGAAGATAGCGGGTCCCACTGAGGTCTCTGCCGTCGGATCACAATGGCTGGATGCCTTGCCTGTACATGAAACCTAACAGCCCTAGAGTTCTGAAACGCCAGTCTGCACCTCTGGGGAAAGACAGGGGCGCCAAAGACAGCGGTCTTCATTATTGGCATGTAGTACAATGGAGGCGGTGTGCCTAGAGGAGGCTCCGTTCAGTTGAGATGTACGGAGCAAGTGCCGGTGGTTCCACATGCCCGCCTCACAAGCAGCTCACAGCTCAAGATCTGGGTCCCAGTCCTCGTTCCGCCAGTGTCCGGCAGTGGCTTCCCCCTGGGCCTCAGCTTGAGCCTCTATATCAGGGGTCTGCAAACTCCGGCCCGCAGGCCAACTTTGTCAATAAAGTTTTATTAGAACACAGCCATACCTGTATGTCTGTGGCTGCTTTTGAACTACAATGGCAGAGATGAGTAGTTGCAACAGACTGTACGGCCCACAAGGCCTGAAATATGTACTATCTGGCCCTTGACAGGAAAAGTCTGCCAACTCCTATATTATGAGGGAGTTAGCTGGATCATTATTTCCCAAAGTGGGAGTGCTGACACCTCAAGGGGCGCACAACTGAAAAATGGGAAGAGTAATAGTCTTTTCCGTGCAGGGTTAATGTAAGGATTAAATGTGTAAGGATTTAGACCAGGGTACGTAGTGAAAATTAGCATAATTTCTATTTCCGTTATTATTATACAATCATTTAGATGTAGGAAAAACTACTAGAACTTTTATTTCCATTTATTTATTTGTGTATTTATTTTGGTAAGGAAGATTGTCCCTGAGCTAACATCTGTGCCAGTCTTCCTCTACTTTGTATATGGGACGCCGCCACAGCATGGCTTGATGAGTGGTGTGTAGGTCCGCACCCAGCATCCGAACCTGTACACCCCAGGCCGCTGAAGTGGAGCACACAAACTTAACCATTACACCAGTGGGCCAGCCCCCATATTTCCATTTATTTTTTAATCTAAAAGAAATTAAGCTCTGCTGACATCTACTATATTTGTACTTAGTCGTATATATACTTTATTTATAAATTAATTTTTCATAATTTATTACTACTAATAGCTAACAGTGTATTGAACATTTATGATGTGTCAGTGAGTGTTCTGAAAGCTTTACAGGAATTAACTTATTTCATCATAACAAGTCTATAATAGGAAGGTGCTATTAGCTCCATTTTGCAGATGAAGAAACTGAGGCACAGAGAGGTTATGTAACTGGCTCAAAGTTACACAGCTAATGAGTGGCAGACCTGATTTTGAACTCAGGGGGACCAGCTTCTGAGTCCCTCTGCTGTATGTCCTCTCGTATACATACTTACATTGACTATATATGCTCAAAACCTTTTTTTTTTAATCAATGGGAGTATATGATCACTTAGGTGAGGATGGTCTCAAGGATGCTATCTAGGACTGGCATTCTGCATTAGCTGCCTGCCTGGGCAGGCTTCTGTTTCTGTGGGACTTGGGATTGGTGAAGACTCACAGCTCCCCCCAGCTCCTGACATGTCCTCTTCCCCCACAGCCCACCCCGAGAGAGCTGCCCTGCTGTTCGTGTCCAGTGTCTGCATCGGTCTGGCGCTCACATTGTGCGCCTTGGTCATCAGAGTGTCCTGCACCAAGGACTTCCAGGAGCTGCAGCTGGCGAGGGAGCACCTGGTGCCAGGAAGTGACAAGGCCGAGGAGGACAGCGAGGATGAAGAAGGGGAGGAGGACTCCTCTGACTCTGATTTTCCGGGGGAACTGTCGGGGTTTTGTAGGACTTCATATCCTGTCTACAGTTCCACAGAGGCTGCAGAGCTAGCAGAAAGGATTGAGCGCAGGGAGCAAATCATCCAGGAAATATGGATGAACAGTGGTTTGGATACTTCACTCCCCAGAAACATGGGCCAGTTCTACTGAAAACGAGATGCATCTTGATGCCATCCCTTCGGTCCTGTTTCACTTGTACCTTCTATGAAGGAGAATTTGTCGTGTCATTCAATCCTGGTGAAGCCAGAAAGCTATCAAAGGGACATTTCAAACTGTTTACAGCACATTTCAAAATAAATGAGGAGAGAGGAAGTCTTTGTTTTCTGTATTTATTTAAATTCATGCCTATACATTAACACAATTAGAGTTCACATTTATTGAGCACTTATAATGCCAGGCACTGTTCTAGCTGCTTTTCACATATTAAGTCATTTAATCCTCCCAACAACCTCATGAGATAGTGCCATCGCCCCCATTTTACACATGAGTAAACCCAAGATCCCTATACATCCATGAAAGAATTATACTAATATTCAGGACAGCAGGCATGAGTTCAGTCATTACACGTTCACTGGTGGTAGATTTTAATCACTAACATGATTTGTTTAGAGTAGGGGTTGGCAAAATTTTTCTTAAAGGGAAAGAATAAATATTTTAGGCATCGCAGGTCAAATAGTCTCTGCCACAGCTACTCGCCTCTGCTAGTGTAGCTCAAAAGGAGCCATAGCTGATACGTAATGAATGAACATGGCTGCGTTTCAATAAAGCTTTATTCATGGACACTGTGATTTGAATGTAAGTTTCACATATCATATAGTCTTCTTTTTTTTAATCAACTGTTTTAAAATGTAAAAGCCATTCTGAGCTTGTGGGCTGTACAAAAACAGGCAGCAGGCTGGATTTGGCCTGCCACCTGATTTTCTAAATCAAGTATGGTCTGCAAAGCCTGAAATCGTTACTCTCTTGCTCTTTACAGAAAAAGTTAGCCGACCCCTTGTTTAGCGTTTAAACGCTTCCAGCAGTACAAGCAGTCAACCAGATTACCCAGCAGTCCTTTGGGCAAGGATCAAGTAGAGTCACCTTTCAAATCATTGCAAAAAATGCGTCCTACCGTATTGTGGGGGAGGGGCAGGTGAAGGAGCAGAGGAAAGAGGATCAGGAAACTGAGGTTCCTGGTGGGGGAGCCCTGGTGGGTTCCGTTAGAAGGCTCCCCCTGTGGACAGGAGGCTTATAGCTGTGGAGTAGAAAATAAAAGATTTTTTTCTTTTCTTTTCTTTTTTTCTTTTTTCCTAGTTTTGCTCAGACTATAAAAATGATGGTGTTATAGTGATCTTACATGCCCACTATGAACGCACTCTCCCTGCCTTATCTTACTTCTTCATCACGTCATCATCACGTCAACCCTACAAGCAGCGTATGTAGAGGAGGAAACTGAAGGCTGGCAGGCTAAGTGTTGGGGCCCAATTCACATGGGAGAAGGGGCTGGAGCTGACTTTGTTGTAAGGTAATCAGGAAATATGAGCTATTCCCTCAGGAACCCGAGCAATGACTAATAACGAGAGAAGGCATTTCTCTTTCGGTTCCCCAGATCCTGAGGGTGAAGGGCCCATTGGAGGAATGCAGAGGAGGGTGGGTGTGGAGAGAAGAGCCTGTCTCTCAGCAACCAGCCCAGCTGCCCAGATGGGGAGGGGTCTGCAGTCTTGTTTGTTTTGTTCATTTACTTTGTCTTAAAGTAAATGTTCATTCGGGCTGCTATAACAAAATACCATAGACTGAGTGGCTTACAAACAACAGAAATTTATTTCTCACAGTTCTAGGGGCTAGAAAGTCCAAGATCCAGATGCCAGCAGATTCAGCATCTGGTGAGGGCCCGCTTCCTGGTTCACAGAGGACCTTCTTGCTGAATCCTCACATGGTGGAAGGGGCAAGAGGCTCTCTGAAGCCTCTTTATAAGGGCACTAATCCTATTTGTGAGTGCTCCACTCTCACAACCTAATCACATCCCACAGTCCCCACCTCCAAACACCATCACACTGGGCATTAGGACTTAACATATGAGTTTGGGGAGGATACAAACATTTAGTCTATAGCAGAGTTGAAATTCACACAAAGTAAAATTAACCATTTCAAAGTGCACCCTTCAGTGGCATTTAATACATTCACCATGATATGCAACCACCATCTCTATCTAGTTCCAAAATATTTTTAGCACCTGGAAATAAAACCCTCCTACCTATTAAGCAGTCTCTCCCCATTCCTCCCTCCCTCCAGCCCCAGGCAACCACCAATCTGCTTTCTGTATGGATTTACCTATTCTGGATAGTTGATATAAATGGAATCACACAATATGTAGTCTTTTGTGGCCAGCTTCTTTCACTCAGCATAATGTCCACAGGTTCATCCATGTTGTAGTGTAAATCAGTATTTCATTCCTTTTTATGGATGAATAATATTCCATTGTATGACTACACCACATTCTGTTCATTCATTCATCTGTTCGTGGACGTCTGGGTTGTTTCCACTTTGGTCTATTGTAAATAGTGCTGCTGTAAACATTTGTGTATTTAAACAGCAGTGAAACTTCACACAAAACAGCAACCGCAGACAGAGTTGGCGAGAAATCCCGTGATTTCCATTCAACAGAGGGAGGGGGGAATGCAAGTGAGTCCAAATGACATCCCCTCTCACACCCCCTGCTTCTGCCAGTTTCAAAATGACCTGCCGTTACACTGACCCCTGAGAAGGTGGGAGGGTGAGCATCGGTCAGGAGAGGTGTCATACAGACAGTCCAGGGTGGTTTGGGCAGAGGCTGAAACTCCTCAGGACTTCCGGGTACCTGAGTCCCCCATACTGTAGGGTATCGGGAGGAGTTGACAGGGTCGGTTTTAATGACGTGTTTTAAAGCCGTCATTAGAGATAAATCTCTTCCAGGTCACAGCAGAGGAAGAACTAAACATATGGCTCCATTGTCTAACTTTTTCATGAGGATTTTCTTCTAATCAAAGAGAATCCTTGTCCTCTCCCTGAGCCCAGCAAGGAACGCTTTGATATTGTCCCAGCTCCCAGAGCATCCTCTCCCCGTTGTCTCCCCTTCCAGTTCCCAAGCCACATGTCTCCTCCGGCTCCGTGAACATAAATACCGTCCATCTGATGACTGTCTTCTTGGGACTGAAGAGAACGTGGCAGCTGAAGGATTTTTCCCTATCTGAGTCTACCCCCAACCCCTACCCACATGCACACCCCTCCCAGGACCCCCAAGGAGGCAGCTGGAGGACAGCCCTCCCAAGGCGAGAGTCAGTCTCTGTCCTGTGCAAATGTAGTGAGTGGTTTATTTGCATTTTCTGATCCCCAAAGAGGAATGCCGTGTTCTTCTCATGGACAGAGCCTGAGGGGTCCTGCTGAGAATGTGTTTGGATGGGCATGAAGCCCAGGAGGAAAAGGACCCAACCAGATTTGGATGAGGGGTTGCCGATGGAGCGTGGAGGCTAGAGGAAGCTCCCGGGTGGAAGTCCACCCACGGAGCGCAGGGCACACACGGGCAGCCGCTGCTCGGCTTTATGCATCTCTGGACAGCAGGCACCCCACTGTTTCCAAGCTGTGGGGTCCCAGAAGTCCTGTGAAAAGAAACCTCCCCCAAGGGGGAGGTTTGCACATGTCACTACCTCAGTTTCTCGCTGCAAACGCTGACTTTTAAGACGTGAGCTGCCTGCTGTAAAATTCAGCCCTTCTGGATTCCCCAAGCTTGTTAGCAGGGCTGCTGGTGTTTTGGAGAGCTGGGACACTCGCTGTTGCTTTGGGGAGTAACAGTGTACTCCCAGGGACCAAGCAAGCCCTGGGAAGCCCCATGAGCAGTCTCACTGTGGACCCCAGAAATGGGCAGTGTATGACACTGTGCCCGCCCAGATCCCTGTACCAGGCCGGGCACCTGCCCTGGCTACTGTGAGGGGTGGCTGTGAACAGCCCCCAGCTGCCCCGCACCATTTTGTCTTAGTCCGTTTGGGCTGCTATAACAAAATACCACAGACTGGGTAGCCTATGAACAATAGAAATTCATTTCTCACCATTCTGGAGGCTGGAAGTCCAAGCTCAGGGGCCAGCATGGTTGGTGAGGGCCCTTTTCCTGGTTCATAGCCAGCACCTTCTCACTGTGCCCTCACACGGTGGAAGGGACAAGGGAGCTCTCTGGGGTCTCTTTTATGAGGGCACTAATCCCATTCATGAGGGTTCCACCCTCATGACCTTATCATCCCCAAATGCCACACCTATTAATACCATCAACTTTGGGGGTTAGGATTTTAACATATGAATTTGAGGAGGGGACACAAACTTTCACACTATAGCAATTTTCTTACCAGTATTTCTCCTGAGAGTATTTCTCTTTCAGTAAATCTCCCATGAAAGAATCTCTGTCTCAGGAAACAAAGACATCCAGTGTGAGGGGTCTGTGGACCTGGGGGTATGTGCTGGTCCCGGTCGGCCCACACGGCTGGCACAATGTCACCCACAGCCTCAGTGGGAACCAGATCTGGAGGAGCGTTGGGGACCCTCCCCACTAGCAAGTGGTGTCCGGAGAGTCAGCCATTCACACACCTGGCATCTGATGAGTCTTGGAAAGGGGTGCCCCCAAGGCCTGCCCCCGGCCTTCTCCATGGGCCCCTGGTCACCACTTCCTGCTCCAGGTTCCCTGGGGCACCGAGGCCTGGGGCTGAGTCCTCCCTGGCAGGCAGGGGAGCTGAATGAGTGCTCTCATCCACTTTCCCCAGGGCTGGTCCCATGCCTGGCAGCCCACATTGTCTAGCAGGGGCCTCCTGAAAAGCACCCATCTCTCTGCCCCACCCCCAGATCCTGGAAGGCTGATGTCAACCAGACATCATGGCTGTACATGATACTGAGTACATGGCTCTGCCCCAGCCCTGGACTCAGGGTTTTCCTCCCACTGTGTAACATCTGGTCTGACTTGGTCCTAGCTTGGTCTCAGGATGACCTATCTGTGCCTCAGTTTCCTCGTCTGTATAACAGACATAATAATAGTACCTCCTCCCTAGTGGTGTTGAGAGTGGCCGTGCTTCACACATATAAGAACAACAGTAAATGTCAGCATTTATCATTGATTATTTCTTCCTCCTGAGGGGCAGCATCCAGGAGGGCCAGGGCTGCACCATTTATACTGCACCT